GTATTGTTTGACAGCAGTGTGGGAAAAGCTGGACAAAAGGAATATTGTAAAATTAGGTGTATGCAATTTCTTCGTCAAGAATTCCAAGAGCAGTATGCAGAATGTGTTCGACTTATAGATGGTGACAAGCGCCAGAAGTTTTCCATTACGGATGAGATGGTTGCCAAGTTTCTTTCTTCAATTGACAAATGTAGCAACTTTCGTTGGTCAMCAAAGAATACAGTTTGCCCTCTTGAGGCTTTTCTTTCGGCGCAGAATTCAACTGCTGAATCGGGTTGGTTGCGTATCCTTTTGTTTCAACACGAGGGAGACATGAAGCCCTATCCGGATCGATGTCAGTTAGTTGTGATTCTTCACACTATTATTCGTGGATTCTGTGGGAATAGTGCAAAATTGTGTGTTGCACTTGGGAAGAAAGGATCAAAGAAAGACCACCACTGGCTCCGATTGCGTGCCAAAGATATGGTTTGGAATATTCTTCCACAACAAACAACAAGAGAATTAGTAGCAAGTGAAAATACTAGAAAGGCGTTGGCTGGATTAAAGAGGAGTAGTGGTGCAACAGCTTCAACAGCTCCAACAGCTTCAGTTTHGAAAGAGTTAGTATTGACCACTTCACCAGTACAAGACGCTACTACTACGTCTCMAAACAGAATTGTACCTGTATCCGTGGCATTTCAAGACGATGAAGAAGAGAACAGGACTTCGCCGTTAACTGTCGGAGATCTAACAGCACCATCCATTGACACACCACCAGATACTGGTGTGGATGATGCATTCGTGCAACAATCAACACCAAATTCCAAACAAACTTCATTGCCGGCTTTGATGAATGAACAGACTCCTATTTCTAAACCGGAAACTCCAGGAACACAAATAAAAAAGAGAGTTCGTCTTGGTCCAACTCCGCCAGTGCTATCTCCTATTCTCCGAAGAGCTCTATTTTTACCTCCTGTTCCTACTACTAACAAGAAAAAGACAACTGAACAAACCGATCATTTCTCAGCAGAGTGCAGGCACTTCATGCWTGGTATAAGCACTGCTAAAAGCGACAAAGATCTTGAAAAAAGGGCGCTTGARTTTATTTCGCTGCGAGCTGCTCATAACGGAGTTCTGTTAGACAAAAGGATCTATCAGCTCCCATCAAGGTCGGTAGGCGCAACTACGAGGGGCAAAAGACGTCAAAGGTGTGTGCGGGAGGGAGCAAATAGTGTCATAGATTTTATCCAGAGTACAATAGGCGGTGCTGCAAATGATGAAGATCTACAGAAGTCAGTGCTTGCAAAGGCTGTGGAAAATAACTTTGATGCAACTGTTTGCAATAAGCCGGAAGGACAAATTTTGCCATTGGAAGTGCTTGAAATCCGAAATCGGTCTGGATKGAATGTGTCGACATCAGTTGTAACTTCAATTTTAAAAGATATCATGACCCTGCTCAAGAAGAAAAAGATGTTGGTATCAGAGAAGGATGCGTTTGAAGGACAGCTCAGGATGAAGATTGGTCTTCTCGAGCGCGTTAGTGCTGTTCCCTCAAAATTCAATCATGTCGAGTGTTATGTAACAAAAGAAGACGTCGAAACATGTGTCTATTATTATATTGAGAATGTGCCTTTACTCATGGAGAGACTTGTCTCTGGTTGTACATTAGAGKGGGAGATGGAAGACTCGTTTGCCTTCTCAAAGTTCAAGAACAAGGTGATCTTTCRATTCGGAGCTGATAGAGGTGGAGGTGATCTCATAATGATGATTGCTCTTGCAAATCGACGTAAAGGCAATCACGGACGCTTCTCTATTCCTATTGGTGTTGTGGAGGGAGCAACAGAAACGTACTCAAACCTKGTGAAAACGGTGTATTCCCCTACTCGGAAAGCTATCCTGGAGCAACTTGTCAACCAAAAACTGTTGATGATTAGAATTCAATTTTTTTTGGAAAATGACACTTCTGCGGCTCCACAAGATGTGAAGTGTTTGTTGCTACGATTGATCATTGACAGGATKGGGGTGAAGAGGCAGGAGGACCTATCATCGACAAAGATTGTTTGTACTATTGGTGGTATTGAGTATGTTGGTGT